TCCTCCACCATGGCGATCATGATGAAGCATTTCTGTCTTTCCCACTAGACTATAAGGATGGACCGGGTACTGTCACCTCTACCACACCCTTGCCCCAGCACTTGCTCATGTATCTCAGCCTCACAGTTTCACAAATATCTTGTTAGGTAGGTGGAGGGGAACTGTTAACCTATTTTACAATTGGAGAACTAGAGACACACAGCTATTAAATGGCTTCCCTAAAGTCACATAACTAGAAAGCAGCAGATCTAGGATTCAGATAAAGGATTTCTGGATCCAAGATTATGTTTTTCCTTTGCTGAAATATTAAATTATAGTAAACCCACAGATATTTATTGAGTAGTAACTATGTTCAAATCTCAGTGTTGTGTTCTATAGATGATAAGGATTTTATAAAGGACATCTTTATAAAGCCACTCGTGATCTTTTGACTAATACTAGGACTATGTTCTTTTCACCTGCTGGTAGTTGTTATACAGTAGGCATTAAAATGTATTTATCAAAGATGGATGGCTGGATGAATGCTTGGTGATTATCAAGGTAACTCTTTGATATTGACCTGTGAATAAAGACTGATCAGTTAGTGACTCCTTTCTTTGACTATTTTGGGTTTGGAAGAATGTTTATTTATTATGAATAATTTATTTATTATTTTGCAGACAGTTCAGGAAGATGAGTTGATAGGTTGTAATATCATACAATGGCATAAATAAATAAAATGGCATAATTCAGGTTAAAAAACCAAAACAGATGTAGCATAAAAGGAATTAATATGAACAGATGTTTGAGGTAAACTAATTGGACTTATATTTATAAGAAAGTCTGAAAGCCAAGGTGAAAAGGGGATGCACATTAAGGTACATTGTTTTGAAAAAAGAAGGCAAATAAATTCATTTGTGTAGACAAGTTCCCTAGGACTGTAAGGTCGAGGCAAGAAATGAGTTTGACTAGATACTGTTGGTTCAGTTCCAAGCAGCTGTCCTTGGAGGAAGATCTCACAGGTAAAGTGACATCTCAATCCAGATATCCCCTCCATATTCGAATCCATAGGAAACCAAAGTCAAACTGTCACTTTCAAATGTCCCAGAATCACAGCCAATTGCTCCAAGTTTTGTGAAACCTGAAGTTTATTCAGTTTTAGGGGCTTCCCTAACAAAAATAATTTGGAATTGTGAATATAACATTGGGTACAAAAGTATATATTTATTTACAAAAAACAAATCATAACAAATTGCAGATTTGTAAAAGCTGATATATATCACAAATGTTTCTTTCAGTTTGATTTTAGCTTCCCGGAAGATATTTCCTTTCTTATGTTAAAGAAAAAATGGAAAATTCTTGGACCAAAAAAGGAGAGTTAAGCAGAGAATCTAATCCAACACAAAGGCTCAGCCCTAGGGTTGGGGCTTGGGGAGGGGTGCAGTCCCCGCCCCATGGCAGGAAGTCAGAATTTCCGATGCCGCCGATTGGCTGGGGCTGTCTGGACTAATCAAACCAGGTAGGCACTAGGTAAGTGTTGAGCTGCCTGCTTTTGGATTTTCTAGGAAGCAATTTGCTGTTGGCGTGTACAGGAAGTACCCACTTGCAGACTATGGTGCTTTGCTGTTCGCTGCATAAACGAGGTGCCCATTTCAGGATCACAGCGCCTCCAGTCGTCATTTTAATAACAGTGGGTCTCTACTGCTGTCAGTGGGCTGGGTGGTCCCTTCGAGATTTGTCATCCCTCCCTTTAATCATCCCGCTTATCCAGAGACGGGCTGGCCCTGCGGTGTTCTGTCTCCTTCTGGCACAGAATCATCACTTGAATGTCCTTTTTGATGCGGGGTCGGTGAGCCGAGGAGTCGAAAGAAAGATTTCTTAGACTCTCAAGATCTGGCAGTAGTGCTCTTTTATTTAGAGAGCAGAATAGCATGGGGACAGGACCCATGGGCAGTCAGAGTTTCTGCTGCCACCGCTTCTGCTGCCCCCGCTGGCATGGGGACAGAGCCCATGGGCTGGCAGAGCCGCTGCTGCCCCTGCTGGCATGGGGACAGGAGCCATGGGCAGGCAGAGCTGGTGCGTGGGGACAGGACCCACGGGCAGTCAGAGCTTCTGCTGCTGCCGCTTCTGCTGCCCCCGCTGGCATGGGGACAGAGCCCATGGGCTGGCAGAGCCGCTGCTGCTGCCCCTGCTGGCATGGGGACAGGACCCATGGGCAGGCAGAGCTGGTGCGTGGGGACAGGACCCACGGGCAGTCAGAGCTTCTGCTGCTGCCCCGAGTTGAGGGTTAGGGCTAATTTTATAAGGCATAGGTATATGATTCATCTCTTTACAAGACAAAGGAAAGAACATGAAAAAAAGTTAAAATGGTATCAGTGCGGGTGGGGTCTGGTCATTGGGTGATCCCATGACTTTTAGACAAGAATCAAATCGGATTAAGTAAAGGTTAGAAAGGTTAGACACCACCACCCTAAACCAGTTACATGAGATTGCCAGACAGCAACCAACTTAAGTTCTTGCCTCTGGCATTGACCAAGAGCCTCTAGAGATAAGACCATCCCCCTCTCTTCCTGGCACAGAGAGGGAGGCATCTTCACAGATAGAGGTTTCCCTTAGAAATGTAAATGTTTCCCAACAAAGGGGCAAACAAATTCCACTCCTTGGAGCCTGAATCTCATCTGTAGTTTTAAAACTAACCAGTCTAAAAATCCTCATCATAAGCCATTTTAAAATTAAGCAGCCTAAAAATCCTCATCACTTTTTACATAGCAGCTGCATGATAGCATGAGAGCACCTGCAAATGCCTTAACTAGGAGCAAAGATAATTATTACAGAAAAAAAATTCCATTATTATAGTTTGGCAAATTTCATGTAAACTAGCTTCCTATTTGACTTAGCCAAAGCTAAGGGGATAAATCCCAAGAATTAATTTGTCTATTCTTTGAGACCCAATCGGGTTTTTTCAAGAGATCTTTTTTTTCCTATTTGCCCTGAAGCACTAACCAGAAACAGCAGAAAGAATTAGCCAGAGAACAGATACCCCCTTGTGAGGCCAGTAAATGCTTTAAAGTTTAGTGATCTCCATTACCATGGTAGCAAACGACCCTTTGGCTAGGCGCATTTGGCATTTACAGTCTCCTTTGTAATTTCTGCCCTGGGACTGTGCGATCTCTTACTTCTAGGCGAACCTTCAACGTTTCTCTGCATTCATTCTACTGCTTGCAGTTGTCCTACTTTTTGCTTCTCGTATCACAATTCAACACTGTTCAGATCTTATTCCTTCCAGATAAAGGGAAATGACATAACTTTTCAGCTGTAACTGAAGAGATATGTCCAGGATTGCTCTCACAGATACTCCTTTCATGAATTCTGATTCAATTTTTGTTTATAGATGACCTTGTCTTTAAAATGAAAAAGATATTTCCTGTGCGGGACCAAGATGCAGACATCATGGAATATGCACCCATCAAATCAACTCCATTGCCTAAAGTTCTGTTTTTCCCAAGTGGCTAAACTAACAGCTTTGAATTGAGCCTGCGTTCTAGAAAAAGGCAAATAGTAAACATTTAACGTATAGTAGACACATGTTTCATGATTTTGGGGTGCTATGGAAGCAAAGGGGATTTGAGACATATTCAGGTAACCTGATAGAAAAATGATAGTGATCAATGACATATTAGAATTTATTAAATACCCAGGAAATATCAGTTGTTAAAGTATAAGCCTGTATTTCTGAGATAACTACAGAAGCCAAAGGCAATGCTCTTGCTAATTTATTTGCTAAACAAGTGGGTCTTGTTATCCTATCATAAGGGTGCCACTAATTTGACCTCTGTCCTCATTGAGCTTTCAGAAGGACAAGTGGCTAAATTTAGACAGAATGTATTGGCCACATCATAATTTTGTGACTTCATTGTTCTCTCTCCATTTCCTAGTTGTAATAGAAGGAAACATTTTTCCTTCTCTCATTAAATTACCTATTCATTTTTTAAAATGCAAGTACAGACCCATGGATTTCTGTTTATCACATGAATATTCTGTGGGTATCATTATTTTATTTTACTGTTCAACTTGTTTCATATTTAGCCAATGGAAACCCTTCAAACTGGCTCCTGTGTACTTTTGGCATGCCTCCATTATTTTTTTGTGCACTGTTTTACTTTCTGTACTCCAACATGTTCCAGGCTCACCTTTTACTTTCCCTGCCTCAACACTAAGAGTCAACTATATTTACAAGGAGGTCAGCTCCTTTTAATGAGGGATGGTGTTTAGAAACCAAGATCAGGATTTAGGGTGTGCTCATTGCTGCTGGGGTGTCTTTGCTTCTAGGCCCTTTCAACAGGGAAAGCTAAGAAATATAAATATATCTACAACAATTTCTTTCTTTCTTTCTCTTTATCTACCTATCTATCCATCCATCTATCTATTAAAATCTATGAGTTATACTGAGTTTCATTCCAGTTCAGCAGCACAGGGTTCATTTTAGCCTTCCCCTTTCCATATTTGTAACTGCCTTCTCCAATAGTGAGAGATCTGGCTTTCTTTAACCCTCTACACACTTAATCATTTGCTCAGTCCTACAATACACAGAAGGTAGTTTCAGAATTGCTAACTCACACTGCTATCAAAAACAGACCCTCTAACTAGATTTCCATATTTATTTACAGTTCCTTTTGGATTTAGACCGAGGGTATAGAGTCAAAGCATCATGTTCCAAAGTTACTCAGGTTAGTTCTATTTTTCCCGTGCGGTATGATTATGTTTGTTTTTTAAAATTTGGGCTGTAGTTAGGTCATATCATTTCTATTATTTGAGCTTTTATTCTCTTAGTGTTTTAATTTTATTTTTTGAGCACATGAAACAAGCTGATTCAAAAAGTCACTGTTAAAACTAGATCTAAATGTATAATCAGAAGAGTCACGGCCAACTGCACAGTCCCTTCCACTCTGTTCCCATTTAGCTCCTAAATGTTACTAATTTCATTGGTTTCTGATGCATCCTTTCTGCATTTCTTTTTGAAAAAAAATAGGAAACACTTTAAGAATTTGAATGTCATCCTTGCACAGGGGTTGCAGAAATCTTTCCTGTAAAACTTCAGTTTTAGTATATGTGTTGACCAACGACTATTGTCTTCTTTTTATTGCCTTGTGATAGCAGTAGATGTAATAAAGTGATAGTTAGATTTTTGCAAGTTTGTTATTGTTGGATCTCCACATTGTCCTGCTGGGCTTTATTCTTGGCTTTTTCCATGTCTTACTTGTTTACACTATCAGCATGAGTTATGGTTCATAGTTGAGGATGCTTTAAATTGATAGACTTCCCCTGCACAGTTCTTCCCTTCTTAGCCTTAGGAGAGTTTGCTATCGTGAATAGGCTATTCGATTTGAACTGACATAAGATTTTTACCTTTTCCTTCTTATTCTTTTAATTTTATTCTGACGATATTCTTCTCATTGTTTTAATTTCTTTTTTCTTTTTTTTTAAGATTGGCACCTGCACTAACATCTGTTGCCAATCTTCTTTTTCTTTCTTTTTCTTCTCCTCAAATCCCCCCAGTACGTAGTTGTATATTTTAGTTGTGGGTCCTTCTAGTTGTGGCATGTGGGACGCCACCTCAGGGTGGCCTGACAAGCGGTGCCATGTCCACACCCAGGATCCAAACCAACGAAACCCTGGGCTGCCGAAGTGGAGCAGGTGAACTTAACCACTCGGCCATGGGGCTGGCCCCTGTTTTAATTTCTATAGACTGACTTTTTGCCATTTACTTGGGTTCTCCTTTCTATTTGGCTGTTTCTGTTTTTAAAAAATAGGGCTTAAGGAACTGGGTTTGCTCAGCTCTATGTGTATGCTGGAATATTGTTGAAAGGTTTTGATGAATCTATTTTGAAAATATTTTATTGATTCTCAATACTTTTTTTTTTAATTTTGGAATTTGGTTCAAATTATTTTGATAGCAGAGATTTCTAAAATACCTGAAGTGAGTGTTCCTTATTTCTTTAAACTTTCTTTTATTCCTATCATATGTCATGTATATTGGAATCCCAGCCAGCCCTTTTTGGATTATCTCTGACTTTGTTAAGGGAGAAACTAGAAACCTAAATTGATGAAGGTGTGGCAGGCCTGGACAATAGCTGTTTATGATTGAAAGCTCCCAGAAGGAAGGCCTAGAGTTAGGGCCTCCAGGGGGAGGATTTCCTAGTTTATACTGATGAGAGGGCAGAACAAGGTCAGTCTATGTCAAATTTTAGCATCCATTGACTGTAGACCAAGATCTTAGAAGGTTTCTTCCTTTAATTCTGTGTGTGTGTTGTGTGTTTTGGGAAGATGACACGTCATGAAAAGGCAGTGTGGTATAGTGTAGTTTTTTGACCGTGACGCCCACCAACAATATATTTTTGCTTACGTGCTCTCAATAAATATATATTTATGTATATGTTACATACTTGTTCTACTATACTAATAAAATTTGTCATAAAACAAAAATGATACCTGTGACTAATATAATGTCAATTATGTCTCAATAAAAAATAAAATAAAATAATAATAAAGTCATTACATGTTAACATTAATAAAATTAAAGAAAAACAGTGACTTATTTCCCTGCCCAAAAAACCAATTTACTGAGAACAGTGGCATTGTTGTACATTTTTGCAAAATTTCTTTAATGTCTGACAAAACAGTGGGAACCTCTTATCTGCTTCTGCATTCAATCTGTCACGTGTCAAATGACCTCAGGAAAGCTCCTCTGTATATCCATGGGAGAAAAAGTGAAAAAGAAAAATAGCATCCCAGTAGTATCATGAAAATAGTTTTGACCTGACAGACTACCTGAAGTGGTCCTAGGGACACTGTGGGCCTCGAGACCACACTTAGAGAACTGCTGCTCTGAGAGTTGCTCTCTTCCCCACATCCTGTCTCACCACGGTCATTCCAGAGCCATGAGGACCTGGCAGAGTCATTTCTGCTGTGTGAATCTCTCCACGGGTCCACAGGTGACTAGTTGTATGGTAGAGAAGGAACCCAGGGAGCAATCCAGCTCTCTCCCTAAGGAATGTAGAATTGAGATGGAAAGATAGTAAGTTAGCCCCTTGTCTGGCTGGATGTGTGATATACAAACATGAAACTGTGTGGCAGCTACTTTGAGTGCACTATATAGATTGTATAGGAGAGAAAGCCAGTCTGTAGAAAGAAAACAGTAAGGCAAAGGATCTGGTGAGGTAGAGGCCAGCATCCGAGAGCGTGCTGATGATTCGCGTCACCTGGCCCACACCCTTTACAGCCTTCCTGCCTTTTCGCTGTAATCGACACCTTGGCATTCCAATAATAAAGCTCCATTTTCCACTGGTTTCCTTATGCTGGTTTCTGATATCAAGCAGAGTCCTACTGAATACATAAGAATTTGCTTTATAGTTATAATTCCTTTGGAACAAAAAATGTAACCCCCAAAGTGCATTTAGAAGTCCTGTGAAGTAGCTCTAAGTTGCAATTAAAAATATATATATAATATTTTGTTAGATGTAGTGTTGGGTTTCCTCCTGAAACCTTCATAGGCAGAAAGCTGAACACGCAAGTGCAGCCCTCATTGCTCTGGAAATAACTAAATTATGTCATCCCTTATGGGCATCGTATGTGTCCTAAAAAAATTAATAAAATCAACAAACTCTTTTCTAAAATGTAAAGGTTCACGTGATATGGGAGAAATGGTAGAAGATTAAAACTCAATATGGGATTAAAACTCAGAAGGAGTTGCAGTGGGCATTAGATATGGCCATGTTAATGTGAATGTAGTTCTGATCTGAGGGCAAGGGCATGAATTAAATAACTCTTCTAGAACTGGGATGTAGACACTTATTTTTATGGTTAACAAGGTCCTTTCAAAATGTTTTATAAATATAACATATTTGTTGAACATAACATTACTTGCCTAGAATTGTGCAAGTGCTTCACAAACAGTACCATTTAATCCTTAACAACAATCCAACGATGAAGGTAATTATCTTCATTTTACAGATGTGAGAGGTAGAGTTCAGGAATATTGCCTGAGGTTGCGTAGTTTACAAATCAGAGAGATGGAATTTGAAGCTGTATATTTAACTTAACTGTAAGCCACATCAAATTCATGGTTTGTATAAATTAAATATTAAACTCAGTTGAGGAAAATCAATCAAATAAAAACAAAGCATGCATAATCTCAAGCAAATAGTAAACTATATTCCTGTCTTTTCAACCATTCTATCCACTTGCACAGAGCCTGGCTCATGGCAAGCATTCAGTAAGTGTTTAATTTATTAATGCAGGAAGTGGATTTGACTTATTGCTGAAAAATCATAAACGTGATCAGGTAAAATGAGAACATACTGAAATTTTCAGACAATTTTTTCCATTGGGTAAACTTTTGCTCCCCTCATCTAATAATATAAATGATCAGAATAAAAGTCCTTCACTCTTCATTAGCATTCATATCTAAATGTCTTCCTTGATCATAGCTCTTGAGAAGAAAACTATGAGATGTCATTCAGATTCTATGAAAATTTGTTGAAAATATTGTACATCAAATAATATACTAGAAAGTTTAAATACATCATTTCATTTAACCCTCACTACAAAGGAGGAAAGTGTACAGTTAAGTAAATGTCGTTGGATGACTATGTCAGTAATTGTAGATCCAACATTGGAGCTCAGGTCTTCTAAATCCTGTGTGGTTGCCATGGCAGGAGGGGCCTCCAAAGTTGGGTCTTCGCACCCGAGGAGTATACCAGATCATCCACCAGCATGGAAAGAAAGTATTAAAGCTTAATGTATACCTATTATAAATATAAATTTATAGTACAAATTTTATGTTATATATTATATGTGTAATTTTAGATTTGATATTTGTATATTTTATGAAATGATCACCATGATAAGTCTAATTATAACCCATCACCACACATGATTACAAATTTTTTTCTTGTGATGAGAACTTTTAAGATTTTTCCCTCTTATCAACTTTCAAATATACAATACGGTATCATAACTCTACTCACCATGTTGTACATTACATCCCCAAGACATTTATTTTATAACTGGAAATTTGTAGTTTTTGACTACCTTCGTCCATTTTGTCCACCCCCTTATTTCGTCCCTCTGGCAACCACCAACCTGTTCTCTGTATCTATGATTTCGGTTTTTGTTTTTGTTTTAGATTCCACACATAAGTTGGATCATACAGTATTTGTATTTCTCTGTCTGACATTTCACTTAGCATATAATGCCTTCAAGGTCCATCCATGTTGTCGCAAATGGCAGGATTTCTTTCTTTTTTATGGCTGAATAATATTCTACATATGCCATATTTTCTTTATCTGTTCATTTGTAGATGGATGCTTAGGTTGCTTCCATGTCTTAGGTATGCAAATACTGCTGCAGTAAACATGGAGGTGCAGACATCTTTTTGACATGGTGATTCCTTTTCCTTTGGATTAATACCCATCAGTGGAATTCCTGGATCATGTGGCAGTCCTATTTTTAATTTTTTGAGGAAGCTCCATACTGTTTTCCATAGTGACTATGCCAATTTACATTCCCACCAGTCATACACAAGGGTTCCCTTCTCTCCACATCCTTGCCAACACTTGTTATTTCTTATCTTTTTGATAATATCCATTCCTACAGGTGTGAGGTGATAGATGTCTCATTGTGGTTTTGATTGGCAATTCCCTGATGATTGGTGATATTGAGCACATTTTCATGTAACTGTTGGCTATCTGTATTTCTTCTTTGGAAAAAGATCTGCTTAGATCCTCTGCCCATTTTTTTCGTTTTTCTTTTGGTGAGGAAGATTGGCCCTGAGCTAACACCTGTTGCCAGTCTTCCTCTTTTTTGCCCCAGGAAGATTGTCACTGAGCTTACATTTGTGCTTATCTTTCTCTATTTTGTTTGTGGGACGCCACCACAGGATGGCTTGATGAGTGGTGTAGGTCCGTGCCCGGGGCCTGAACCTGTGAACCTTGGGCTGCCGAAGTGGAGCTCACCAAACGTAACCACTGCATCACTGGGCCAGATCCTCTCTACCAATTTTTTAATCAGATTGTTTGATTTCTGCTATTGAGTTGTATGAGTTCTTTATGTGTTTTAGATATCAC